CATGTGGGAAGGGCCTGGTCCAGCAACAACTCCGACGACAGCGAACATAATTGTCGCGCAGTTATCAAGCCCGCTAAGACAACGAAATTGCGGCAATTATCGACTCGAAAGCGAACTGCCCAGGCATCACTTCACCCATTACGACCCCCAGCGCTGTTTACAGGAGCTGATAATTATGGTACGCATGCGGGTGACGGCTAGGAACTATAAATACCGCGTAATCCGTGTATCTATCACTCCAATCTCTGCATGTCTCACACTATTCTACGGTCACCTATAATTAAGGATTCTCGACTTAATCGGAAACGTCAGGCAAATAAAATTCTTGCTCTAGTGATCACATCTACTTTGGAACGAGGCAGTTTGCTAACGGACTAAAAGGGATAATTTCGCAGGTGTCTCCATTCCTTACAAATACACACACATTTTTAATTCCCCTTCTTTAAAGGCAACATATTAGGGCGATGTGCTTGGCCACACAAGTATAAACAGTTAACGCAAAACGCATGTTACGTAAGTAGTTATGTTATGTCGAATGCTACTGACATAACTGACCATACTCCTATTCATTCAGAAACCAGAATGTCACATTAAAGGCTTGAATTATATTTCGTATAGATCCCTTTCTTAATGTCCGCCGAGGAATCTGGTACCAACATATACAGCGTAAATGCATAGCAAATTCCACAAGTTAGCTGACTTTTTGCTCAGTGTTGATGCGTTTTCAAACTTTACAAAGTAATCCATTCTATTGCACAGCATAGCTGACAGTTTTCAAACAAGGTTTTATGAGTTTCGGTTACTACTGAATGTCTTTGCTAAGCTTTGGTCAGAATCAAAGTGCATATTACGGCGTGGTCCTGATTTCTGAAACAAAATGATGCAACAAGTACTTGTGGTTAGGGCAGTAATGCATCAAATGCTACAACGCTCTGCTCACAAACTTCAAGGTTAGCTTACTTGAGAAAACCAAAACAGCAAAGTGTACCTGAACATGCAACGTCGTGTCCACTGGGAACTTCGCGTCAAACTGAAACATCTTTCCAAAGGTGGGTCTAAGTGTTTTCTTTATATAATTATCTTTATCATTGAAGACCTGTTTTCCCAGACTGACAACCAGGAAGGGATCTGAAGTACCCGTAGGGTCGCTCGGACGTAGATTAAAGCCCTAAAAGAGAGGAAGATGTAAAGTTATTTTGAAATCTCTCTAAAAGTAGAGTGAAGGATTCTTTGGTCGGCATTATGATAAGTTTCTTGCTGTCCAACCACGGGTCATAACATATCCAATGTGGGTATAGTTGTGAACGCAACACACGACTTAGTTCAGTATATTCAGGGTAGTAGGCGATGCCTTTGAAGACCCTATTGAAAACAGTATGCATAAAATATTCTACATAAAATATGTTATTATAACATAGCAAGCAACGTTAACACATGTACAATTTTATCTGTAGGTAGGACCAATGCGTCGGTGACTGCTGACAATGCTTTCTTGTGCATATGAACGGTATCTATTAAGTGAACAGGCTTAATCTGGAATGTCCGCAGGTCAGCTGGAAGAACACGGAGTTGTGGTTAAAGCTGAGAAATTTTAGTCTAGATGTTTTAATTACAGTATATTTTGGATTCAACTCTCAGTTGACTATCAGGGGGTTAATGTATGACTGACTGATGGAGAAGAATAAGCCAGAAATCGCCACGCTACTTCGCTTAGTCTTTTCTAGTGAAACTTCTCGAGTACAGCCGATTTTTATTAGTAGCAGAGAAATCCCCCAATGTAACTTTTCAGCCGATTCTAAACTGACAAATGTGCAACGACGAACACAAGGAGGAAGAAGACACACGCAAATGACGTCGTTAGTGTGAATAGTCCAGTAGCGCATGAAGTCACGTGAGTCCATAACTTAGCAGTTGAAATCATTGACTTCAAGTGGTGCCGAAGCCAAAAAGACGTGAGGTAAATGTACACAGCTTCTCTGGCCTCAGAAAGAGTATTTATACTAAACGACAGCCTGTGAGTTGATTGCCCTCAAATTTGACTATCCAGAGTGGTTTCCACATGCTGGTATGATAATACCATTTCAGTCCGAAAATCGTTCTGATGCCTTTTCGGCCGGATAGCTGATCGAGGAAGAGTAAACTGACCATTTCTGGGCTAGCTGAGAGACTTCATTGTTCGATGATCAGCTGAATAACATATACTTCCGACGCGGAATAAGGGTACAGAATACTGACGACGGAAGAAAATCCCAGAATGACTACTTCATTCACATAGGTACGAATGGATGCGAATAGGCAAGCTCCAGGTTCTTGTTGCGAAGGAGATGAATGTGCGATGACTGGGACAGTGCTTGCATTGGTAAGCAGTGCATGCGTTTGGAACTATAGTTGGGCTTAGAGCCATCATAGGAGGTCTAGTTGTCAGTAGTCCAAACTATGTGACACCTAGACATTTTAGATTTTTCCTCGGAAACGCTCATATGCCCTGTCAGCTATCAGGAATATTTGGCCATGGACGGTGAATTTGGATCATCTCATTGTCCATATACATAAAATGCCAGGTTCCCGCTAGGGATCATCTAGCAATAATTTCAAAAACCTGAACAATATAGTGAATTGCAGCAAGAGTACAATAGACCGCTGTGATTAGCCGGCCTACTCATAACACGTGTCAGAGTAGGCCTAGTGACTAGACGAACTTGAATTAAAACATAAACAGTTTATAAAAGACATAAGAAGGCATTTTGTTTACCCGGACTACGTAGACGCGAACGAGCACGTTGGCGTATTCCGATTTGGGCAGGGTTGGGAAGCACTTGAGATCGTGAACAGACTGTGGCATGGGTTCGTTCTCCTCGACGGGGTACAGCATCAGGTTACCCTGTAGTAGAAACCGTATAAAGTGAGGCGAATGGCAAGACCTAACAACGCTTAGACAACTTTAACGTGGTAACCACACAGACTTTCGGACAGTTGAAAATGTCCAAAGCAAGGGGAGAAAAGCAAAGCAATGGTCACCTTGAAGAAGCCGACGGCACGCTCTTCAGCCGTTACATCGTCATCTTCCTGTTTGCCACGGTATAAACAGAAATTTCGAATGGGTGTAGAGAATCCGCTGAAGGCTGGCACTTCTTCCAGGTCCATTGCGTATATCTTTCAAAGAAGAGAGATAAGCGGGGTGAGCCAAGTGGAAATGAGGCATAAAAGGCATTAGGGGCACAATTATCATCCCTGAAGCTGAACAACGCCTAAAACAGCCCTATTACTCATTTACCACAAGAATAGGCGTGACGTGTGAGTTTACTATTTTTAAGGTGCACCTGGTAGATCATAGAGTCTAAAGAAACGAAATCCCATTCGGGAAAAAACTAAGGTCTACGCTTGCTATCTGAAATTTATTTCACAGAGAACCGGCAACTAGGTTCTCCGTGTGCTGACAGATACCAATAGTTTACACAAAAATGTTCGGGTTGTTTTTAGACCCGCCCGAGGTTGACAGCCATGCGACAGGATAAATAATGAGATTCCTACTAAAGACTATAGACTACATCAATTAACCACTGTGCCTATTTATTTTGGCGGCTTCTTGTAATATGTTCTCGTGTCTCCTACTAGCTAGGATTCAGCTTTTCAGAGCATTCGAAAAAAGTTTTTTCTCAACTATCAGCTTTGGCTGCATGCTACCTTTTCACATGTGGTTGGGTTTGATAAGGAGTGAGGCGGGCCATTTTTTTGACAGGCAGCTTGTATCAGTCGGACTGCACCTTCAAAAAGCGTGAGTCTCTCCCGTGCATGCATGTACTTGCGGACAACTTATAGCCGTTAACCCTTTCAGGTTTTATTTGTTCGAGATGTCCTAGTGAGCAATAAGTTCATCGAGATAAATAAGGGGAGCGTATATTTTCGCGAGATATTAGTCGGTCTGCTAAGTGCCAAGACTACGAGGGGTTCTTGCCCACAATTCAGAAATATTTTCTGTGTTTCTTACGAAAACAAATGTGCGTCCAATAGGGGGTAGAACGAAGGTCCAAATACCTTTATCACTTTAACCACCACTTGTAGTTGGCGTCGCAATAATTAGCAGTCAAACAACAAAACCTGTAGTAGCAAACTCGAACCGCGACAACTAGCCCGAATGTAGAGTGATCCACTGTTAAATATGCAACATGGTCCACATTCACATAAAAGTTAATGAGCCCTATATGACATCCCTTGTTAGTGCCTACAAACGTATGACTTCAGTTACATGGAGAAAATAACTCTTCTTGTTTTAAACCCTGCGTGTAAAAGTACCACGAGGGCGGGCTCAAAATTAAAGGCAATTTAAAGTGTTTTAAACTAAAAGATACCCTTTTGTATATCAAATATGGTTGAATTTATAAGGGCATCGTAAATCAATGGGGAGAATGCGTGCTACATAAGTAGCAATCTTTTAGAGAATGTAGTTTTTAAAGATGATGGAAAAGAAGCTCGTTTAAAAGCCGTCATCATAACGGAGGGAAAAAGCTGGGGAGTATGCTGCACGCTAGTCAATATTACGACTCGACTTGAGTAAGTTTATCTAATCGAAAATACATTTCAGAATTTCAGTTAACATTTCATGAGATAACAAAACCACAAGCTGGCTATAGTCAGACGGACAATAATCAACAGACAACGTGTTGAGCCCTGATCAAAATCAGTAGTGGATCTAATTAATATGGACTAAAGCAAGCCAAAAAATCAAAAAAATCTTATGACCATCATAAAAGTAGGTTATGCCGAATTTCGAAGAAGCATTCTAAAAAGTAAATAGGGACTAATCACTGATCCCGATTTCAATCAGAACCTGCCCACCTTCAAACGTATTGGCAACATCAGCATTTTGTTCTGTCGTGCATGTACTCACGAAACCCAAATGCCCCAGAAAACGAAAATTTCGCCTTTACGGTCGTGGTTTATACGGTTGCTATCTGACAGGACAACGTGACTCTCCTGCTAAATTATGGCACATTCTCCCTCTTTCGTGTGCACTCAGAGGGGTCCTTTCTACTTTTTGTGAATTTGAACCAGGTATGTAAATTTACGTGACAAGCAAAACTGAATTGCCTACATTCGTTAGCAACTTCTACTAAGATTATCTCCAGTTATCTTGAATTAGTATCGAACCTGGTGCACCGTAAGTGTAAGGAGGGGAAGTGTTCGCTTTGAAATGCGGGACGATCAGCATGGTTAAAAGGACAGAAAGCATAGTACACATGTTACCTCAAGCTTTTCAATGAAGCCCTCGTCAAGCTCTGCCTCCTCCGTGACGTAGAACGACTCTTTCAGTTCCTTCTCAAAGGCCTTCTTGGCATCTCCACGCTAAAGTACAAGTAAGCATTTATTTGCGGTTTCCTAAATTATCGGAAAAATCTACAAGGCTTAAAAGTCACCGTTTCCAGTTTTCTGAAACTTTCAACGTTATCAGAGGTGGCGATGCGTGACCCTGATTTTATAGGTTTTAACGCAGGAAGATGAAATATTAACACATATTTACCAGTTTCCGAATAAACGAAGGTTCACCCTTCTTCTTTTTTTTCTTCTTACGTCTTTCCTTATCCTTCTTTTTCTGATACTTTTCGAGAGCGGTGAGTTCTTTCTTGGGTTTCAGCCGGAAGAACTTTCGAATTTTGTTCCGCCTAGACAGTGGTTTCGGAGACAGTTCATCCTCGCTCAGTTCTAAAAGCCCCTGCTCTATTTCTGAAAGAAAAAAACAGATAAACGAGGCTCTGGATGAAATATTTACCGATTGATTCAATTAGTATCCCCTTAGGTGGTAATTGAGATCACATTTGTTATCTGAAAAGCCAAAGAAGAGATGAAGACGTCTGCCTGTTTATAATCGTTTTTAATCTCAGCTTTCTGGCTCGTGATGAAGATCGCCACCGGAGACAGGGTGATGAACAATAAGTGATCGTTACTTACAGCTTAGTAGTGACCAGAGTCAGCAATTTCGTAAAATACGCATAGCGTTTGGTATGATAAAGAAAGCTTGATGTGTTGATTTATTGCATTCTGGTTAAATTTTAAGGCTTCCATAAAAGTTCATCTGGCCTATCGTCAATTCTGGTAACATTGTGTTTCTCTGCTAGCTGAAAATCAAGATTTATCTCCAGGGCGGGAGTAGCAACTTTAAATAATTAGTCCAGTTTGATTTGTATAAGTGGAGAGGTAACCCGAGTATAGGAGCCAATAAAATGCACTAGAATTTTCATTGGCATTTAGTTTATAGTTAACTCTTGTGATTGGCCCGTGTTCAGTGTGCTCTGAGCAGTAAGCACCAGAAAAGCTTTCCCTTCCACGAGTTGCTTAATTGCAGTAGAAGCGTTCTCGCACTTAGACAGGCAGTGCTCAGGCTTAGGTGTATTTTGGAGTTTAGCGCTTTCTAGGAGAGTATCGAAGTGTACTGGCTCTAAGCCTGACACCTGTTCCAGCACTGCGCCTCGCGAGCGGTTGCATGAGTGTACCAGTGAAGATATAGTTCTCGGCCGATGACAGCTATCCAAACCGGCCAACCAAATTCAAGGCTGACATAGACGTGCTCTTGCCCAAAGTACTAAAAGGGAGCCTCCACTCTCACACAGGACATCGACCTCACGGTGTTGGAGTTGTGCTGTCGTCCAGTTGTCAAGCTGTTCCAACCTGTTTTCCAATCTGACTTTAAGGAAAACAATAAAGTGGAGCCTCGGGTGACGAACAGTTCCGTATATGAGCATTTCAGGTAATGAGTAAGCCACTAGAAAAAAATTGTTTTGACTGACGAGTTTCCGTTCAGTTACCGAGCTGTCAGTGCGTGTGTGACTTTATCCACCGTTGGGTCTTGATCCCAGGGCGTGGGTCCTCGGTCGCCTGCAGCCAATCAGTAAACTGATGCAGTTGGATAGGCTACGCTTCGCAAGACAAACATTTCACATGACGAACTCGGTGTCGGAGCAGACTTAACTCCTTAACCGAGGTTCCACTGTACTCTTTCTACTGGTGTCCAAGTTCGCCTCCTGCAATTCGAGACCGGGTCTGACCAATAGCGTGCGAATAGCCTTATGGGTCATTCTAGCATAAGGTCGTTTCACGCGCTGTAATGCCCTCGCGAAAACTTCTTGAATATTTCTGTCGCACGCATGAGCAAAACGCTTCATGTTTGCTCGAAGCAATAGCGTACGCTGATTGGCTATTTGTTTTCCTGCGCTTTTTTCCCAGCTGGCTTGGCCTGTTGCGGTACCTGTTGTCACGTGCTCTTTTCACTTTAGGCCGCGAGTTCATTACGGTTCCCGTCTCCGTAACAGTCTCCTTAACGACATTAGCAGCGACGGCAAAAGTACTGATTTATAAAACCTTGGCAATAGTCATTACGGTGCACGCGGTTGTAGATGTATCCGTTTTTATGTGCTGTTTCCTATGATTTTCCCTAAACGAATAAGTCCGTGGTTAATTTTTAGAATGGTTGCATAAGAATCACCTGAGTCGGCATCCGGATGTCAGACACTTCATGTTCGCAGTTGGGAAATGCTATCCTGGCGTGGCCAAGAAGCCAGAAATCATAATTCAATGTCAACTATAAGTATTTTAAGGAGGTTTTAACATCCAAAACCACAGCATTTAGATTTGGATCGGCTGTTTAGAATGCAGATGATCTTCTATATTTTTCCTATTAGCAAACTAGTTTATTAAGGGCACAGTACAGATAAGAAGATCACAAAATTCACCTGATTTATTATCCGAAACTTCTATTTGAAGCAGTTTCTCTTCAAATAAATCCGGTTCCTCTGTCGACTCGTCATCCTCCGAGGACTACAAATTGAAACCGAATTAAAGGATTTAATTCACAAACAGCAGAGCCAGTAAAAGCTGGCAAATACGGATTCTGCACTTATTTTGCCGGAACGGCTGCCGTGACTTAGTGACTCTCTAATTAAAAAAAATTCGCTGTCCCTTTCGAGGAGCGCAAAGGGACTCTTGGGAATTCAGATAGCTAA